TCTTGCCACCCCTGTTCCCATTATACTCCTGACCTTTCCCTGGTTTGCACCTTCCTCCCAGGGTGCACCTCTGTGTCCCCTCTCCAAACCGTCCCTCCACCCCCACCCTCCCACAGGTCCTGGCTATGCACCCTTGAGAGAGGAGGCGGTAAGGCTGTTCCTTGCGCTCCAGGCACTGGAGGGGGCAAGGCGCCCTGGGCCCCTGATGCAGGGTGTGCTCCAAACCTGTCGGGACCTGCCTGCACTCCGGGATGAACTCTTCCTGCAGCTGGCTAAGCAGACCTCAGGCCCTGCAGGTCCTCCTGGGCTCCCTGCTACCCAAGACCCTGCAACCCTGCGGTACTGGCAGCTCCTCACCTGCATGAGCTGCACCTTCCGGCCTGGGGTAGCTGTTCGGGGGCACCTCCTAGGGCATTTGGAGAGGTGAGAAGAAAGAAAAAAGTGTAAGGCCAAGGCAAAGGAGTTTCAGGGCTGGGAGAGAACTAAAGGCCTTTGCAAGGGGGTTGACAGATGGAGAACCTAGATGCAGAGAAGGGATAAATCCCCTGCTTTTGTAGGAATTGCAAGATCATATCCCACTGGTGAGCAAATGAATTACAATAAGGCACCCTCTTTGGGCAGAGGAATTATAAAAAGTCTGCTTTTCCTTATTATGCAGACCAGTACCAGGGCTTAGGAAAGCACAGTAATGTGGTTCAATTTTGGATTTCAGCGGGGAAGATCAGGAGATTTTCGAAAGTGGGTGGGGACAGTTGGGAGAAAGCTGCCAGAAGACATCGAAAGTAATTTAATTTAGCTCCATGCAAAGCCCCGGAGAAAGGCTGCCTTCAAGAAACTTGAATTGGAGGGAAGGAGTTTGACTAGATGAAATAAAATATTAATACAAGAAGGGGAGAGGGTGGGAGGAGGAATAAGAGGAGTAGGAAAGCCCTTGGAGCACTGTTCCTGTGATTCCTCCTAATACAGGACTGAGCAGGCACTGCCGGACTCGGAACTAGCGGAATATGCGCGCTTCATCAGGAAAGCTCTGGGCCGGACGCGCGGCAGAGAGCTGGTGCCATCGCTGGCAGAGATTTCCGCACTGAGCCAACGACAGGAGCTGTTGTGCACGGTGCACTGTCCAGGGGCTGGTGCCTGCTCTGTGGCCATTGACTCTCACACGACAGCAGGGGAGGTGAGGCCAAAGGTCCTGGGTATCCCCAACCCTTCCTTCTAAGTTCTCATACCTGCTTCTCCTGAACCCTGGGTTGGCCCTAGTCTCTGATTCCTTATTTCTATAAGTGGGATAATGGTAGTGTCAGTTGGATCCGTATGCCTGAGGATCCAAACAAGACCCTCTTCCTCTCTTCCTTCTAGGTGGCTCGAGAGCTGGTGGGGCGGCTGGGTTTGGCCCGGAGCCGCAATGTCTTTGCGTTGTATGAACAGTGTGGTGCCCAGGAACGAGCGCTGGCTGGGGGGACCCTCGTGGCCGACGTGCTCACCAGGTTTGAGAAGTAAATGTCCAGCCCAGAACTGTTCTATTAACCCATCTCCTCAGCTTAAATCACTAAGCAAACATTTATTGAGCACTTGGCATTTGTTCTAAGTTACAGACAGACTCCCTATCTGCAGTCTGTGTGTAATCTGACTTCTATGCTCACCTTTGTAGGCCACTCTTGGGGGCCCCGGCTCAAAACATATGGCCACACCCCCAAACTTGTCCTGCCCCTTTCCCAAGTCTCCAGCACTCTGCTGGGCCCTGCTTCCCCATTGCCTCGTGTTCTTTTTTCTTCTGCAGTTTAGCCTCAGAGGAAGCCAGACTGGAAGACTCGCTGGACTCCGGGTGGAGACTGTGTCTGCGTCTTCACGGACCTCTGCATCCTGAGGGACTATCCCCAGACGGTCACGAACTGCCTTTCCTCTTTGAGCAGGTGAGGATCTCCGACATTCACGCCTCGGAATATACCATCTATGCCTGATCTCTTTCTAGGCCATTTCAATTAACCGTTCTGGTAACCCCACGGTAGACTGTCCCCAAACCCTTAACTTCTCAGGCTCCACCCTCCGAGGTGATTTGCCACAGTATAGTTGCCACTGCTGGCTGACGCCTGGTGCCTTCCTTGCAGGCTCATGCTCTGCTGTTGCGCGGCCGGCCGCCACCGCCCGACGACACACTGCGTGCCCTGGCGGCGCTGCGCCTGCAGAGCCTGCACCGAGACTTCTCCCCGCGGGTGCCCCTGCCTCGCCTAGACCGCCTGCTGCCGCCCCCCATCCCGCCCCCCATCCCTCCGTGCGAAGTTCAGCCCCGACCAACTCCCAGGCCACCGCCCTCAGCCGCCCTGCTGGCCGGGGCATTCTGGAGCCCCAGCCTGGCCAAGAGGCGGGCGGAGCGGGCTCGACGCAGTGGGGCCTGCCGCACAGCAGCCCCCGAGGGAGGAGGCGGAGGCGCCCGCACCGCTGCTGCTGTGCTGGGCGGCTGGAAGCGGTTACGGGGCATGGGCCGAGCTGAGGCCATGGCTGCCTACCTGGCTCTGGCGGCGCAGTGTCCGGGGTTCGGCGCTGCTCGGTATGACGTTCTGGAGCTGAGCACGGTGAGGGGGAGAAGGGAGAAGGGGACTCTGGAGGCCCAAGCCCCACACCTTTGCCCCAGAGCCATAGGCCCCCACTGTGGGTCACTTCACTTCCTACTTCCAAATGCCAGGAGACACCAGCCCTAGGGGGCTTGCACCTCCTGGACCCTAGCCCCCTTCATATTTCACTGTGTATCATAGAGGGGTCAGGGAACTCCCTGCTCACAACCATTTTCCCCTACCAAAAAGAATGCTGTCCTCTCCTTCCCCCCTGACTCTGCCTATCTGTCTGCAGGAACCTGGTGGAGGTGCTCCACAGAAGCTATGCCTGGGTCTGGGAGCCAAGACCATGTCCCTCTCCCGGCCTGGTGAGACAGAACCCATCCACAGTGTCAGCTATGGTCATGTGGCCGCCTGCCAGCTAATGGGTCCCCAAACCCTAGCATTGAGGGTAGGCGAGAGTCAGCTCCTCCTGCAGAGTCCCCAGGTGAGTAGGAAGAGGCAAGCACAGAACAATCTATGGACCATCAATCATGGGTACAGCTCTAGGTACTGGGAAGCCAGCTATGATCAAAGACAAGCTCCTAGGAGCTTAGAGTGTGGGAATCAGACAATCAACAAGTAATCAAAGATCATTAAGCTAGAAGGAAAGAGTAGTATGATGGGAAGTAACTGTAGGGGCCAAGCATTAGGTAGTCAGAGCCAGATTCTCAAGAGGATGACATAAGTTAGCCACAGGAAAATCTAGGGGAATAGCATTCCAGATAAAGGGAATTGTAAGTACAAAGGCCAAGAGAGGAAAGTATACTTGGCATGGTAGAGGAGCAGAAAGAAACAAGAATGATTTGGGCACAGGGGTGCACACTTGTAATCCCAGAGACTCCGGAGGCTGAGACAGGAGGATCATTAGTTTGAGGCCAGCCTCAGCAATTTAGTGATGCCCTATCTCAAAAACTTAAGGGGTGGGGGTATAGCTTAGTGGTAAAACTCCCCTGGGCTCAATTCCTAGTAGGATGGTGAGGATGGGTAAGGTTGTCAGGAGCGAGAACTTGAAGGACCCTGGTAGAGAAGCTGGAGCCCTAGAGCCTGAATGAAAGAAGAGAATCTAGTTGCTCCTGTTGTGCATTGACCTCTGCTTTCTCTTAGGTGGAAGAGATCATGCAGCTGGTGAATGCCTACTTGGCCAACCCCTTCCCTGAGAGGCCCTGCGGCAGCTCTGCTCCTCCATGCCAAGACCTGCCAGACACCTCCTCTCCCAGCCAGCACCAAGGCCTGGATGAGCCCCAGGGACAGTCTGGCTTCTTGGGCAGCTGCAGGACTGAGCCTGCCAAGAGGTCATGACTCCCCTCTTCCCTCCAGCCTGGGCCAGGACTACTCTGAGATTTGAGGAGACCATGGACCCTTTTGGCCCTGCAGGGACAGGGCACAGACCCCACACCCAAGGTCTGAAATGGGTGTGGACAATTTTATAGTTTGTTTCTTAATTTATTTGTAGAAGAGAAGCCAAAAAAAAAAAAATCCTTATTTACACAAACCCTTCTTGTGGGAGTGTTTTCAATGGGACAAGTTGGAGCTCCATAGCTCACAGCTCCACCCCTGGGGACACCCACACTCTGGGGGTTTTATCAGACACTGAAGGGAGTCTGGACACCACAGAGCTCCACCCTCCTTGACCTTCTGGATTTAACCTCCTCTTAGCCAGTTTGTTGCTATAGAGTAATGGGAGGGGCAGCCAAGAAGACATAATTGGAAGCTGGCAATTACTCACCCTCTCTTCTCCATCCAGTGGCAAAGGGGTGGCCCCATGGTATCCCTGAAGCTGGAGGGCTATGAGTCATTAAGACTGTCTCTGCCCATATTCTACCCTGGTGTCCAGCTTCTGATCCTGTTTGGGTTCATCTTTGTTCTGCTTACTGCTTTGGGCTTGAAATGGAGAGAAGCTTGAGGCAGGATATAGACCCAAACATTCCTCTGGCACAGAAAAAGAACTCAGGATGAGTACAGCCTACTCCTAAGTTCTGTCCTGCTTATCACTTTGAGTTGAACTGGGTTGAGTTCCTGAGATTCTTATGGCCCTGGGCATCCAGAGTTCCAGCTTTTCTGACCTGCTTAGAATGAAATAGGCCCTACTTTCATAAACCCCACATCCTCTTTGCTGAATGGAGGAAACTGGAGCAGCATTGATTCAACCTGAAGCAGGAACTTAAACACTAAGGAGACAGTAGACCTCATTAACCCTCTCTACTTGAAAGCTGGCTGGGCTCCAGGGGATGAAGTTGGCCAACTTCAGTATAACAGCCTGGTTCAAGGCAAGGGACCTCAATGGAAACAGACATACTAAGACCTGGACTAGGTGGGAAGAAGTTAGAGGAAATGAAGGCAACCTTACCATCACTCACCTGAAAACTGAAGATCCCATCCCCCATAGTGACAGATCAAGCCCTGACTATATTCATCTCCAAGCTTTATAACTTTATTTGAACTGAACAAGCATATCAAGGGTCAGGAATGGAAGGGAGGAAGTTGGGCCAGTTTCTGGGGAGGAGAGGAATCCAGTAAGGTAAAGTTGGATTAGAGGGACCAGTCATGGTGGTGGCTGTGCTTCCTGTACAGTGGGGAAGAGCAAAGAGGAAAATCACTGCTCCTGGGTGCCCCAGGAGATATAGTCTGGCCGTGTGGCTGCATGGTACTCATCAATGAGCTCCTGAACAACCTCCCTGGACCTGTCCATCTCATCAAAATTGTCCTTGAAGATATCCTCTTTGCGGAACTGCTCCAGGAAGGCCCCCCGTTTCCATAGCTTGTCATACTGCTGGCAGGAACTTTCAAAGAGCTGAAAAAGAAGGAAATCTTCAGAATGGGTGCTAGTATAACACGGGGACTAGGAACAGACTGGGGGAGCTAGGTGCAGTGTCACATGCATATAATCCCAGCTACTTGGGAGGCTGTAGATTTGAGGACCACAGATTCAAGGCCAGCCAGGGCAACTTAGTGAGACCCTGTCTCAAAAATAAAAAGCAGTTCAAATCTAGGTACTGCCAAAAGGGAAAACAAAAAGGAAAGGACTGGAAGAATTTGATGAAGGTAGATAGACACTGGTAAGAAGTGACTGGACTCACTGAGGAGATACTGGTGTGGTTGGCCATCATGAGCCCACTGACCCGGTGGGCTGAGGGCAGGTAGGGAGACTTCCTCGACAGGGCCACCTGGATGCTGGCTGGGCCCCAGGGGATGAAGTTGGCCAACTTCCGTTCACGGATCCTCTGCAAGCTCTTGTGGACCTGAGGTGGGTATGGGAGCGGTGATGGTGGCCACTCCTCTACCCTGTGGATTCAGGGGACAGGGCAAAGAGGCCTCACTTACCTGGGTGGGGTCCACCTCTCCCTGGATGATGTTGAGGATGGCGATGTAGCAGTGGTTGGTCTGGCGGTCCCGGCCTGTGGACACCATCACGTTCTTGGGCTGCAGCAGCCGCCTCATGACATCCAGGACTGTGGTCTTCCTCACACTGGCCACCTGAGGGGAAAGTGGGTCACAGGGACCAGGCTGGCACTTAAGACATAGTCCAGGGCTGGGGATGTGGCTCAAGCGGTAGCGTGCTCGCCTGGCATGCGTGCGGCCAGGGTTCGATCCTCAGCACCACATACAAACAAAGATGTTGTGCCCGCCGATAATTAAAAAATAAATAAATAAATATTAAAAAAAAAAAAAAAAAAAAAAAAAAAAAGACATAGTCCAAAAGAAGAGCCAACACATGTCCCCATCCAACTCAGGATACTGTGATATATCTGTGGACAATGTCTCTAGGTTCAGGTCTACCCCAAGACTCTGAGGCAGGAGTAGGCTCTTAGCAAACTCATGCCCCTGTGCATGAGCAGAAGCCAACCCCATTCAACCCCGTGCCTGCAGGAGCCAAGGCTGAGGGAAGGTGGACACAAGTCAGCAGGCAAATGGCCTGCTTCCTGTCAGGCCCTGAGCAAGAGCCTTGGGGGGCTGCAAAGGGTAATTTTTGGGCAGAGGGGAGAAAAGAAAGTCAAAGTTCAGTATCTCTAGGCCCAGGCCAACCCTGCCTGGGACACTGAAGGCTGCTCTTACTGACTGGTCTGTAGTGAGGGGGGTGTAACCAGTCATGAGGAAGTGGAGCCGTGGTGTGGGAATGAGCGAGGCGATGAGGCCGATGAGGTCGTTGTTCATGTAGCCGGGGTAGCGCAGGGTGGTGGTGCTGGCTGACATGATGGTGGACACCTGGGGATGGGGGTGTACATCATGGGTATTGGCCCATGTGGGACCTCCCTTCCCAGATGGCCTTCTAGCAATGAGGGTTTCTGGTCCAAAGGAGTCTAGGATGGGGCTCACCAGCTGGTTGATCTGGGAGAAGGATGGGTTCTGGATGTGGAGGCGGTCTGTGGCTATCCGATTAAGGGCTGTATTGTCCAGCACCACCTGAAGGGTAGAAGGGAATTACAGCATCTTTTTGAGGAGAAAAGCAGTATAGAAATAAGGTATAGCTCAGCCATTACTAAACTCCAAAACCAGGAAGTAACTTTTTCTAATTTAAAAGGAAAGTATTTTCTTTGTGGCATCATCATGTACTTTTGGACCATGCAGGACAGTTAACAAATATGTGAGTTCACCTAGGTATTACTCACAGTGCTTGGCTCTAGAGATACCACAGAGAATAAAACAGGCATGGTCTTTGTGTCATTGGGCTTACAGTCCAATGGGACAGGTATTAATTTTTTTTTTTTTGTACTGGGAATTTAACTCAGAGGTGCTTAACCATTGAACCACATCTCCAGTCCTTTTTATTTCTTAATCCTGGGCCCAGAGACACGGATCTTGCCTTTCTCTTCTCCCCCCTGCCCCAAAAAATTAAGTCTTGCTAAATTGCTCAGGACCTTGCTAAATTGCTGAGGCTGGCTTTGAAATTGCAGTCCTCCTGCCTCAACCTCCTTGTTGCTGGGATTACAGGTGTACACCACCATGCCTGGCCTAGACAGACATTAGGTATAAAACAACGAGCTTGGGGTGTAGGCACAGTGAGCATGTGCTTATCATGCATAAGGCCCTGGGTTCAATCTTAAGCATCAAAAAACAACATTTGTCTGTTTCATTTATTTAACAACCCGAAATATGCACAAAGAAACCTGACCTTTACTGGGCAGTTGCTGAAGCCTTTGCTAATGAAGTGATCCTTGAGTTAAGAGTTCAAACATGAGTAGGAATTGAGTGGGCAAAATAAGGGTAGGTACTCTCACTTTGTTGAGAGCCTTGCTGCCTAAAAGGACTGAAAGCAACCTGGAATTTGGGACCTTACTGCACAATTTGGCCCACATATTGTGACTTTGTTGATCTCTGTTCTCTGTAAGAGCAGGGACTTGGAAAAAGCAAGGTGCAGGTGACTGACTGGCCTACAGAGGTAGGCCAACCCTCCCAACTTGTTCTCCTTTGCTCACCACGCAGTCTGCATTCTGGGTCAGCCTCTTAAGTGTGAGGAGTGAGTTGTAGGGCTGGACCACCACGTCACTCATCTCATCCTGACTGGGGAACACTGAGTACGTCTGTACCAGCTTCTTGGGATACCTGGGGGCAAGGAAGAGGGAAAAGGGGAGGGTAGACAGTGAAGTGGATGAACCCCATGACTGCCACTCTCAATCTCCTCTAGGGACAATAATGACCATTCATTTGCCATTGAGTTCTTATACAAAAGGAGTAAGAGTAGAACTAGCCTCCCCCAAAATCCCAAAATAAGCCACAAGTATCAAACCCTGTAGGCTCCTTCCCCTTCCTTTTAACCTCCTCTTCCCCCAGTTATTGCTTCCAAAGTATTCCCTGGGTGGGTTTGTCCCTATTACTCAAAGCAGAGAGGGTCCTGGCAGACCTAGCAACTCATGAGAAAAAAAGTGAAAACATGAAAATATAGTACCTAGGGAACAAGGGATAATGTCTTCTCAAATACAGGTTTACCTGTCATTCAGTCGCTCCAGAAGGTAGGAGCCTAGGCCAGAACCCGTACCTCCAGCAATGGAATGGCACAGCACAAAGCCCTGCAAGGGGAAAGGTGGAGAGGCTTCATGCTTGGCTCATTCCCTACTTCCAAAACAGTGTGTCTCAAGGTTTCTTCTGTGTTCATCCAGGATGAGGCTCCTTGGGAAGGTTTAGAGCCTGAACAGGTTGAATCAATTCCATGCACAAGGAGCTGATGTCACCCAGGTTATGACTTCCTTGAGAACAAGGACTGTATCTTATTTTCTTCAATGTCCCAATATCTGATGCCAACCCCGCTGCCCCAGTTGCTGGGGATCAAACCCAGGGCTTCCCTCAGGCTAGGCAAGTGCTCTATCACTGAATTACATTACCAGTCCCCCAAATGGTCTTGAATTGTCCCCTTTGTATTAACCTGTTCAGGTCACCTCCTCACCTTTCCCCCAGCCCTCTTCAGTGGGGAGGCCCTCACCTCTAGACTGTCACTTCCATCTGCTTCTCGGTCTATGATATCAAAGATGTCTTCATGGATTTTCTCACCCTGTGTAGAGACATGGGAAGGGAGGGTCAGGCTGAAGATTCTCTTGTCAATACAAAGAACTCTACTCTGGGACTTTGTTCCCACCCTGAAGCAAAGCCTCAGTGTAGTACTTAACCCAGAAAAGCTAGTTTTCAAATGATTTGCACAAAATTTGCATAAACCTTTCCCAGGCTTCTGTCACATCAGGGTATCCATTTGTCTCTTATTTATTGTCAGTCTAGTCTGGTCAAATTCCCAAGTGGCTTGATCCTGCCTTGCCCCAGGGTGGGAATATCAAGGGTCTCCGGGATGGACACCTGGGAGAATCCCCTGGCCCAGTTGTTGCCAGCTCCTCCTCCATGTTCTGAGAGGTAGATGTTCTCCGGGTTATAGAGCTTGGCATATGGAGAGTTGAGGATGGAATGGATCACCCGGGGCTCCAGGTCCAGCAGCACTGCCCGTGGGATGTAATGCTCATCGTCAGCCTGTCATGGAGAATCCAGGAAGGGCTCAATGACCTAGCGTGAACCAAGTTCTCCCATCTCTGGCTCCACTGACCCTCCCTCCTCAAGCCAGCTGCCCTGGCTACTCTGCCCACCAGGTTTCCCAGTACCAGGCCATTGCCCTTCCCTTCAGGCCCCTTGGGCCACTGTGGGCTTTGGCCAAGTCGCTGGGGGCACCTGGTAGAAAAAGACGTCCTTGCGGTCAGTGCCTTCGGTGGCGAACTCCTCCACGATGCCCTCGGGGCTGATACCATGCTCGGCGCACAGCTGTTTCCAGAACTCGAACCCAACTGAGAGAGGGGGGAAGACGCCCGGGTCTGCGAGAGCCGTAAGGCCTGAGGAGCCCAGCGTTAGGCTCAGAGGCAGTCACACTCAGAGGGTGGACCCAAGACGCCTGGGCCTGGGAGCCATCACAGCTCAGGGCTGGAGGCGCAGTTCTTGGTCTAGGTTATCATGCGCAGTAGGGCAGGGGGTTCATGGAAGGGAAAGAGGGACTGGTGGGTGCCAGGCATTTGAGTGCAGCCCGATGGGGCAGAACCAGAGACTGGCGGGGCCCGGCGCTCGCTTGCTCACTCTGGTTGCCGCACTGGCCCAGTTGCAGGGTGATGATCTCCCGGGGCATCGCTGTTCAGACGTGGGCGCGCCAGCCCTGGCCCGGCGGGAGTCACCGCTGAGACGAATGCCTGGCAGCCTGGCGGGCAGGACGTGGGGAGCGCACGCTCTCCTCGTCTTTTGACGCGGGTACTCTGTCTGCGCGTGTGCAGTGTGGGCCTCTCCTCAGCCGGCGGGCCAAGGAGCCGAACCTGGGCATCATCTTCTCCCCTAGCAGTCGCAGCTGGATTTCGGCACAGGCGCAGACAGAGGCCACGCCTCCTTCTGTCCACCGTTCCGCGCTTGCGCAGCGAGACTTTGGGGGGCCGGGTGGGTCACCAGTTGGGTGTGGAGGAGGGGAAGGGAGGAGCGGCCGGACAGATGCTGCTGTCCAGGAGTATGCAGTTCCCTACCCCCATGTATGCAGATGAACTTCTGCCGGCTCTGCTAGGTCGAGGGACTGAATTCAAAACAACTCTCCTAATTTAAATTTCTTTTTAAAAATGGTATTACAATATTATACACAACATAAAAGTCACCATTTTAACCATTTGTAAGTATCCAGTTCTGTGGCCTTAAGTATATTCACATTGTTCCGTGAACATGACCATCGACTAGTTTTCATCCAGAACTTCTTCACCTTCCCAAACTAAAGCTCTGTACTTTCCATTCCCTTCTCCCTGCAGCCCCCGGCAATTACCATTCTACTTTCTATGAACTTGATTCCTCTACGTACCTAAAATGAGTCATACAGTATTTGTCCTTTTGTATCTGGCTTTTTTCACTTAGCATAATGCTCCAAGATTCCTCCATTTTATAGTTTGCATCAGAATTTCTTTCCCTTTTAAGGCTGAATAATATTCCATTGTAACATTGTATGCATTAATCATATTTTATTTATCCATACTCCAATAAACCCTTGGATTGCTTTCTACTTTTTTCCACATTATGAATGATGCTGCTTTAAATGTGGATGAACAAATATCTGCTCAACTCTCTACTTTCAGTTCTTTTGGCTGTATACCCAGAAGTAGAATGCTGGATCATATGATAATTCTAATTTTTTGAGGAATTGTCATACTATTTTCCACAGCAGCTGCACAATTTTTGCATCCCCACTAGCGATGCAGAAAGGTTCCAGTTTTATCACCCACCAACACTTGTAGCTTTCTGTATTTTTGTTAATAGTCATCCTTATGATTGTGAAGTCGTATCTCATTGGGATTTCTGCTTTATTTTAAGTGACAGAAAAGTTGAAACATACAAGTATGATTTTGTATTTTATTATTTTTTTGTTTTGAAATTTTATACAAGCATATCAGATATAATATCAGAGAAAGTAGACTGCTTTTTTTTTTAATTCTCCATTGGGGTTTTTGTGATTTAGCTATGTTTAAACAAGTAGATTTATTTCATTCTTTTCTTTTGTGGTACTGGGGATTGAACCCAAGGCACTCTACCGCTGAACTATACCCCCAGGCCTTTTTATTTTTGAAACAGGATCTTGGTAAGATGCCCAGGCTGTCCTTGAACTTGCAATTGTCCTGCCTTAGTCTCCTAAGTCACCAGGATTATAGGTGTGTGCCACCACAGTCAGCCATTCTTTTCTTTTGAATGGGTTTGTGTGTGGCTCTAGGGGTTGAACTTAGGGCCTCATACATGCTAAACATGTGCTTTACCACTGAATTATATCCAGTCCTGCTTCATTCCTTTTAACTGTTTTATAGTATATTATTGGATGAGTGAAACCAATTTATTCTTCCATAAGCAAAGGAATTGTCTGTTAGTGAATGCCTCTACAGGGGATTGTGAGCTTCAGCTGTACTAGGCTTTGCACATTTTCTCCTAGGGGTTCTGATTAGCAATAGGCTTCTGATTCCCTTTACTCGTATCTACATTTGGGTTACTAGATGACAATTTTTTTTTTCAATTTCATGGATCTGGGTGGGATTTCATGGTTGAAATTTCCAGTTATGATAACAAGTAAAACTGATTCACTTTTCTTTTGTTACTGACTGGGGATTCTTCTGTGAATTACCTGTTGATATCCTTGGCTCAGGGCTGGGTGTCGCTCAATGGTAATGCCTGTGTTTAGTAAACCCAAGGCCCTGTATCCAATTCTTTGCATCAAAAAACAACAACCACCAAAAAAAAAACCCCACAAAAGTTCACATAATCTTTGCCCATTTTGGGGGGATGGGGGGATGGGAGTAAGGGTTATTTATTTTAGACATTTTAAGATATTCTGCACTTATTTTCATTGTAGTCTATGGCTTGCCTTTACATGTTGCACATTGTGTTTTTCATCATAGACAAGATTTCAATTTTTTTTTTTCCCCCCAGTGCTGGGGATCAAACCTAGGGCCTTGGACATGAAAAGCAAGTGCTCTGCCACCGAGGTATAGCCCCAGCACATGATTTTAATTTTAATATACGTAAAGTTATCCATCTTTGCCTTTATGTTTTGCACATAAAGCTTCTCTAAAGAGCTCTTCCCCTCTCTCAATATTATACAGCTATCCTTCTATGTTTTCTTCCCAAATCTCCATAATAGCTTTGCTTTGTTCCCTGTAGGTCTTTAGTTCATCTGGAATTTATTTGGAGGCCTGCTGTGAGATAGGGATCTACTTTATTTTTTCCATATGGATGGCCAATTGTCTCCCAACCAATTATTGAGGAGTCAGTGCAGCCTCCGCCACCCCCAGGAACATTCCATGTCTCTGCTCCAACGTGGGCCGGCTTCTGGCCTCTCTTCTGCGCCCTCCGTCTGTCTGGCTGTCCTTGTCTGGCAAGCTTTCTCTGGGAGTCGCGCAGAACTGGCGAAAGCACTACGGCCAAGAGTCATGCTCAGACAAGGCTTTTTGTTTTCGTTTCTTTCTCTTTTTAAAAGAGAACTCGGGCCGCCTTCCAGGCCCTGGTGCTCAGAATTGTCTAGGCTTCTTTAAAAGGCTCTCTGGCTCTCCCCACGGCTGTCCCCTCCCAGGCCTCAGCTTTTTGTCTCCTCTTACCCCACCTGGCCTCCAGGCTCCTCTTCCTGCTCTGACCAGGAAGATCTGAAGCATCCCCCAAGAGGTCCCTGTGGCGTGGCCTTTTCAGGGAGAGACTGGATGCTCCCTTTGAAGTTGAAGGGTGGGGTCAGAGCTCCTTCCTTAGCCTTGAGGCTCCCTTCCCCCATGGAGCTGCTCCCTAAGGGCAGCCTACCTTCAGAGGCTTTGCCAGGATCTCTCCTCTGCCCAGGTGACTTCCGAGATGAGAGTACACTGGTCTCCTCACCATGGGAGTCTCCTAGGGCTCATTTTACTGCCTGTAAAATAATAAGCTATAAGCAGTTTATAAAGGCTTGGGAAACACTAGAGTTAAATTTCACCCTTTCTCGTGATTAACAACAGTTCCTTACTCCAACTTCTGGTCTGCCAGAAGTAGGAACATTTTCTGCAAATCCTCATTTATAGGGAAGCAGGTTAGAATGTGTGGATTTATCAGAGTTGGAGAAGTTTTAGTTTAAGTTTTCTCCAAGAAGCTACCTCTGGCAAGCTGGAGGCGCCTCTCCTCACAGCCTCATAGAAATGGGCTGAAAACTGAGAGGGTTATGTGCATTAGCAGAACTGACTGTAAAACCTCCCAATTATTAGCAGGATAAGCTTTCTCCATTTATTCTGAGAACTGACCAATCGATATCAGTTAAATGAGATGACGTATGAGCACTTAGCACATGTCCGACTCATAGTAAACCCTCAACAAACATTAGTTGCTGTTATTATTGTCACAAGACGCAATTAGAACTAAAGGATAGCTTGGTTGCTGCTACAGATGAAAGATCTTATTTGGGGTAAAAATAAAATGGTTACTTTAAATAAATTTTATTTAAAATCCAGATATTTATGATCCTACAGACTTGGTTTCAGATCTAACGTCTATTGAGGTTGACCAGAAATCCCAGGTTCTTGGTCCTTTTCATGGGTTTTGGACCCAGAGTCTCAAGCTCATTTACCCATGGCTTGATTGTTGAGTGTTGACTTTAATTTACTTGGCTCCAATTTTTCTGATCCAGGTTATGATAATGTACTGGAATGTGGTGTTCCTTTGTCTGAGGACTTGGTCTACCTTTGATAATAAATGTAGCATTTGCAAACTAACAAGTGTATTACATGTCCGGAGGCTTTATTGGACATCTCAGGTTGACTAAAATATGTTTTTGGATGCACCTTAATTTCTGGCCTTTCCCAGACACCTGGCCTGCAATATGTCGGGAGCTCAGGTATCTTGCAGAGGTGAAGAAGTGAAGTTGTTTCTCAGGGATTGGGCGGAACTTGATAAGTGGTGTGCTTATCAAGCAAAAACAGCTAATTAGGGCTGGGGACGTGGCTCAATCGGTAGCGCACTTGCCTGGCATGCGTGTGGCCCGGGTTCGATCCTCAGCACCACATACAAAACAAAGATGTTGTATCCGCCGATAACTAAAAAATAAATATTAAAAAAATTTAAAAAAAAAAAAAAAAAACAGCTAATTAAAGCTGCTGCTAGTTTTGAGACTGGGATCCTGTGACCCAGGGAGTTTAACTTCCAAAATTAAAGGAAAGGAAAAATTAAAACAATGGAGGCAAAGAGTCCAAGTTCTTTATGTAAATGGAGTTGTGCTAAATTCATATTTTAGTTAGGAAGTGAACAAAATAAGCTGTTTTTTTTTCTGCACTGTTTTTTCAAGGAATGAGGAAAAGGAAATAAGTTTAAAAGTAATCTTGTTTGTGGATCATTTGCTCAGTCTTTTTTTTTTCTTTTTAATTGATGCATATTAATTATACAGAATAGTGAATTTCATTGTGGCAAATTCATACATGCTTATAATGTAGTTTGATCAAAGTCATTCCTGTTACCATCCCTTAACCTTCCATCTCTTTCCCCCTCTTTCATTCATTTATTATGCACCTATATTATGTGGGCCACACTATTTTGAGCTGGGAAAATAGAGATAACAAACTAAAATGCTCATGGTCTCATGGAGGAAATAAATGTGCATTAAGGTTAGCACTAAGTGCAGAATAGGGGACTGAACTGGTGAGCTTGCCTTTCCTCTTGTGTTCCTGTTCCACCCAAGCCTTCATGTTTGGGAGATCTTTCTGCAATGCAAGTCTGATTCTGGCCCAGCCCTGGAAGATCCTTCAGTGCCTTCTTATTCCAAGGAGCACATCTGGGACTGGTCCCTGCCAACTCCTCTAGTTCACTACTTGACGCTTTCCATGTTCATCCTAAACTC